AAAATTCACCTTTTCTAATCCTGGATAGCACTGTAGACTATGCATGACTCAGAAAGAATTCAAAGTTGTCAGTAAAAGGAAACTATTTGAAGGAGATTAAATTGTGGAAAGAAATGTTGCTTTGCACTACCTCCTGATTTCACCACTGGTTTTCTTTTCAACACCTGCCACTGTTTCTTCCTTCTCAGCTTTGCCATAGTGCCGCTCCCCTTAGTTGGTATTGCTTCCGCTGGTTTTCATGATGATGCTGTTGTATGCATGTTGCCATTTATGTCTTTGTGTTTTTATCTAATGACGACTCTGTGCATTTGCTTGTACAAGTTGGCTTTTATCCAGCTGTTTCATTTGGCTTTTTTATTCACTGAGAGTTTAGTCTTTTATTTTCTGGGACCTCCTCCAACAGATGAAACATTCCTGGCTTTCAGCCCCATTAATTTATACTGTTGCATGGGACACATTGGAATAAACATAAAGTCGTTCCATTTGTATCTCTCATAATTGTGTGTCTGCTGCTTATTAATGTCTCTTTAAAGGAGTGCTATTGTTTGGACCCCCAGCTCAGCAGTTAGATGCAAAAGGTCATCAAGTCATGAGAGCCAGGTTGGTCTAGTGGTGAAGGCTCCAGGCTAGAAACCAGGAGATTGTGAGTTCTAGTCCTCCCTTAGGCATGAAAACTGGCTGGGTGACTCGGGCCAGTCATTCTCTCAGCCCAACTCACCTCACAGGGTTGTTGTTGTGGGGAAAGTAGGAGGAGGAAGAAGTATTAGGTATGTTCGTCGGCTTGAATTACTTATAAAAATAATAAAGGCAGGATAAAAAAAATCTAAATCTAAAAAAGTCATTCTACAGGTCTTTGGGGCAATAGATACTGTTTTTACCTTAATTGATTTTTGTCATGTTGTAATTTACTTTTGGTCTTATGAAGGCCCTGGCCTCCAGCTGCTGCTGCTTAATGCCAGGTCGGTTAACAACAAGGCCCCCTTCATATGTGACTTGTTCACCAAGGGGGGGCAGACCTGGCATGCATTACTGAGACCTGGCTGGGGGCCGGGGGGGTGCCCCTCTCGGAAATGTGCCCAGCTGGGTTCACGGTGTGGCACCAGCCAAGATGCCAGAGCAGGGGAGATGGAGTGGCTGTTGTCATCCAGGAATCTCTGGTAGCCTCCAGGGGCATTGCTCCACATGTTTCTGGCTGTGAGACACTGTTCTTTAGGTTGGGTTCCCACGAACAGTTGGGAGTTCTGCTACTGTACCAGCCTCCCTGCTGTGTGGCAGCCTCCCTGCTTGAGCTGCTGGAGGCCATCTTGGGGCTGGTGGTGGTGTTCCCCAGGCTTATGGTTCTGGGGGACTTCAACCTGCCAGCCCTGGGACGGTCCTCGGAGGTGCCTCAGGAGTTCATGGCTACCATGGCAGCCATGGGTCTGTCTCAAATTGTGCAGGACCCAACCCGAGATAGTGGCCACATGCCGGATTTGGTCTTCTTGTCGGAGCAATGGCAAAGTGATCTGAGGGGAGATTTAGAGGTTTCCCTGTTGTCATGGTCAGATCACGTTCTGGTGACCCTGAGTTTCTCCTATGCCATCCCTCTCTGCAGGGAGGCAGGACCCATGCAAGTGGTCCACCCCCAGTGCCTGATGGACCTGTCAGAGTTTCAGAGGGAGCTGGGGGGTATTCCCGTGGATCTGCTGCACGGTCCAGCGGAGGCCTTGGCTGCTGCCTGGAATAGGGAGGCGGCCGGGGCCTTGGACAGGATCACGCCTATGCAACCTCTTGTGCCACATCAGCCCTGACACTCCCCGTGGTTTATGGAGGAGTTGAGGGTGCTGAAGAGGGTCAAGAGATGTCTAGAGCGCCACTGGAGGGAGACAAAGACCAAATCCAACCGAACACAGGTTAGAGCTGCTATCA